CCCACACCCTATAGAAAAACCCCCCCCCCCCCCCCAAAAAAAAAGGGCAGGGCAGCCAGTTACAGTGACTGTGGCCACCCCATTAAAAAGGGGCATAGCCCCCAGATAACCCAGCAGGAGGCTCCTCTACCTCCCTTCCTCTCCCTGCTCATTCATTCAACAATGTATTCTGGCTGTGTTCTGTGCCAGCTCTGTGCTGGGCCTGGGGGTGCCATGCTGAATCAGACAGGCCAGCCCCAGGGAGGTCCCTGACTGGAGGAGACACAGACCATCAAGAGCCAGACAATGAACTGTAGGCTTACTTTAACAAAAACTTATGCAGCATCTCCCTCCTGCTAGGTGCCAGGCACAGTTCCAGGCTCCAGGATACAATGTAGAAATAGATGGGCCCCTCCCTGCTTTCCCGCAGCTTTTATCTTAGTTGGGAGAGACAAACACAAAAGCAGGAAACAAAAAAGATGATTTCAGATCATCATAACTGCTACAGAAAAAATAAAACGGTGGCCTGAGAGCAAGGAGGGCAACTTTAGAGAAGGTGATCAGGTTATACTCCTCTGAGGAGGTGACATTTCACTGAATAGCAAGAAGGAGCCTGACCACTTGAAGATCAGGTGGTGCATTCCTGGCAGAGGGAACAGCAATGCAGAGGCCTCAAGGTAGGCTGAAGTCTTGTGACAAGGGAAGAGTAGGGACGCCAGGTAAGGCTAGAAGGACTCAGCAAGACCCCAATCACATAAGGACTTTGTAAGCTACAGAAAGGAATGGATTTGTGCCAAGCCCAGAGACACGGGCTATGACAGCAATAGTCCTGGGGCTGTAGAACCCAGGATGAAAGGTTCCACGCGCTCCCCACCCCCACCCTCACCCCTGCAGCTCAGTCTTCCAGCTCAGCCCTCCTCCTCCACTCTGTGACCTTAGGAAAGTTGATCTCATCTCTGAATCTCAATTTCTCATCTGTGAAATGGAAGAGATGGGGAATTTCTGAGGTTCATTCCAGCTGTAAGGTTATTATGTGTTCAGAGACAGCAGGTGGGAAGATTAAGAACATGGGTCCTGGGGCCAGCAGATGGCATAGCAGTTAAGTTGCTGGACTCCCACATGGCCGACTGCAGTTTGAGTCCCAGATCCAGTGGCTTCAAAGTCATGCCAGGAGTGTGTGTGTACATGTCCAAGATCCCGGGAGGAGAATGGAGGAGAAGGGATTGCAGCGTGGCCATTCCCCCAGGGAGTGATTTCTCACTTTCCCTCTCACTGTGTCTGTCTCTTTCTCTCTCTCCCTGGCACTTTACCTATAAAACACACACACACACACACACACACACACACACACACAAAACCATGGATCTTTGGATCACACTGTCACATTGCTTGGGCTTGAGTATGTTTCTTGCCTTCCTAGCTGTGACACGGAAATAGATAGCATTCCACCTGCTGTCAGCGTTGCATGCTCCCTAAGCCTCCATGTCTGGCTTCCAGAGTCGCTGGAGACCCACCCGCCCATCCTCTGCACACTGCTCCCTCACTCTGCCCACCAAGGGTGCAGCTTCAGATGTTGGCCAGGCTGTATCCTCTGCCTAAAACACTCTTGCATGGGCTGACTTCTATTCATCGTTTGGGCCTCTGCTCAAATATCTCCTCCTCTGGGAAGCCTTCCAGCCTCCTCTACAGAGATCCGCCCCATTTGTGTGGACTCCCGCAACACTGTGTCCCAATGTCTCCGATCACACTGGCTGTCGTTGGCTCCTCCATTCGGTGGGGGAGCTCCTCAGATCAGAAACTGGATTATCATGGTTCATCCAGTGATGGCTTGTTAAAGGAAAGTTTGATCAAATGTGCTCTCTCCAGGCAGGGCCAGGCCTCTGCACATACCTCGTCCAGCCTGCTCTGGCTGGCCCTGTGCTAGGCGAGGGACATCTATGAGCAAGACTCCATCCCTGCCCTTCAGGCTCTCTGGTCTGGAGATAGAGATAGCCTGGGACAGACAGTGACAGTAGGGGGACAAGAGAGGAAGCCACTCAGGAGCATCAGATTCTCACCCCAAGGCCATGTCACCTGCCCAGCCAGGGTCAGAGAGGAGCAGCCCCAAGCCAGTCACAACTCTCCCGCTGTCCACTCCCTTCCCTGGACAGAGCGTGGTCCATCCTTCCTGCTACATGTGAGCTTGTTGCTCATTTCTCCTGGCCACTGTATCTCTGCACTGTGTCTCTGTCTCAGTCTCACTCTCTGAGTAATCAGAGTGTCTTGTCTCGTAAAAGAGAGATTCTAATTCGTCTTGTGAATTTATAAGTCACTTGCTTCCCATAGACCTGGAGCATATTGCTTGAACTCTCTGTGCCTGAATTTGCTCATCTACAAAGTGGGGATGACAATATGACGTAATAGTATCAATTAGCTATTCTTTCATAACAAATTATCCTAAGACATGGCAGCTTAAAGCAACAACAGATGTTGGTTACCTTTCACGGTGACTGTGGCTCAGGAATTTGGAAGAGGCTTAATTGGGTGGTTCTCACTCTAGATCTCTTGTCTTTTTTTTTTTTTTTTCCTTTAAAGTTCATTTATTTATTTACATAAGGGGATCCCCATGCTGTGATCCACCCCCAAGCTCAGAAGACCCAGACCATGGGCACACGTGCACCTGGCACACTTAAGAGATCCAGGACACAAATCCAGGACCCCTCCTGGGTGGGTCCCGCTCCACCACTGCCCGACCTCAGCCTGTCTTCTTCCAGTGAAGGTGCTGGCCACGTTGCAGCCCTTGGGAGGTAGAAGGGGACTGGAGTTCTGGCTCGGCTCACTCATGCGGCTGGTGAGTGCGTCTTGGCCGCTGGCACAGGGATTGAGTGTTTCCCCACATGGGTCTCTCTCCAGGCCTCCTTGAATGTCCTCATGACATGGCAGCTGGCTCTCCCCAGAGCAACTGATCTAAGAGAAAGGAAGAAACACCAAGAAGTCCCGATGTCTTATGTGACCTAACCATGGAAGTCACACTCCTGCATTTCTGCACTATCCTATCAGTTACACAGGCCAGCCGTATTCTGTGTGGGAGGGTCCTATATAAGAAGGTGACCCCCAGGAGTCCCAACATCTCCAGGGACTGCCTTGGAGGCTGGCTGCCATAGTATCTCATAGGATTTGTGAGGATGGCATAAATTAGTATACTCTTAGGTTTTGGCACATAGCACACACCATACCAATGTTTGCTATTGCCATTGCTGTTTCTGACACTTAGTAGGTAAATTTTCAAGGATTATTTACAATTAGCATTAATGTTACTGCTATCAGTGAAGAGCCCTTCACTGGAGAGGAGACCCAAGGAACTGAAAGGATGAAGGTGGTTCAGGGCTTCATAGAAGAGCTTAGCAAGCCAGCTGTGGGTTCTTGCCTCTGGGCCATGGTTCTCAGAAGAGCTGGGGTCACAACTGCCCCTCCACTGCCTTATTGCAGAGCACGGAGCTGGTCCCTCTCCCTGTCTGGGCTAAGGATCCCCATCCTTAACCTGATGAGTTGGACCAGGACCATATTTTCATGATGGCCATTCTCATCCCACTCAAATGATTTTTTCCACTTACCTCCTCTACTGTCATCCAAGTATTTTCCTTAAATCTTTTCACTTAATAAATTTAGCTGCATCCTAAGTGATAATCTCCATGAAATTACAGGTTTGATATGCTAATTGTATTTTTCCAATGCGCATTAAAATAGACGTGTGGCTATTCAGGTAAACAATGAGCCTCTGCCCATGCAGATGCCAGATGCATCGCCTTTAGCTTCTCTGAGCACTCTGCACATGAAGACAGTGTTCTTCAAGGTGACTTGAGGGTGGCCCAGGCCCTGGTGCTAAGTACCAGAGTCTTAGGACCTTCAAGAAGAGGCTCAGCAGTTTCTTTTTTGTTTTGCGTTAGTTTCTATTTTATTTTATTTTTATTTTATCATCAAACTTTTACTCATACCTAGTTTTAAGAATCAAATTATTTTGCAAAGCTTTTTATGAAAAACTAGTCCTTCACGCCTACTTCCATTTTCCTTTCCCCATGGTCAACCACTGTCAACTCTTAGTTGGATCTCCTGGTATTTACCTTCATGTCGTTAAAACACGCTTCTTTCTATTTCTTGATCATTCAGTGTTAGGCACTGTTCCATGGCTTTCCACCATGAAGATGAGGATTTAGCTCTTTAAAACATATCCCAGTAATCTCAAACACACAACACACATATACACGTACACTTATTCTGCAAGCTCCTGCCCACTCTTCCAATATGCTTGTGCTCCTGTGCTTTGATAGTGTTTATTTTTTAATTAAAAAATGTTTTTAGTATGGCAGAGGGCACATGCACTTGCCTGAGAGAGACAGAGAGAGAGGGAAAGTAAGAAAGCACCTCATGGGGAATAGCCATGCAGCAATCCCCTCTCCTCCATTTCTCCTGCCTTTTGGGATTTAGGGCACACACACATGTGTCTGGAGTGTTTCTCAAGCTGCTGAGTCCAGAACTCAAACCATGTGGTCAGTCATGTGGGATCCAGCCACCTTAACCACCAGACCACAGGCTGACCCTTAAAATTACATTTTTAAAAAGAATTATTTAAAATATTTCATTTTATTTATGTATTCATTTATTTTCATTTGAACAGAGAGAGAGGCAGCGAAAAAGCAAGCCACCAGGTCTGGGACTTGAACCATAGTCGGCCATATGGAAGGGTCCAATGCCTTTACCACCACGCCACCTGCCTTAAAATTAATTTTAAATGTGATAAAGTACACGCACATATCACAAGGTTTACCATCTTAACGCCATTTAATGTACAGTCCGGTGGCATTAAGTACATTCACATCGTTGTGTCGCCACCCTCACCTTCCAGCTCCAGAATCCTTTATTCTCTACCATTCGACTATAACGCTGCCTTCCTTCTACCCCCAGCCCCCAGCAACCACCATTCTACTTCCTGTCTCTATGAATTTGACTCCTCTAGGTACCTTATTCCTATGAGTGGACTCGTAAAGTATTTGCCCTTTATAACTAGCTTGTTTTGTTTAGCACAATGTTTTCAAGGTTTATCATGTTGTAGGATGTACCAGAATTTGCACATGCCACTGCACTTGACCTTTAGGTTGGACTGGAGTTGAACCCCAGGCCTTCCATATCAGCTTAGCCTATAGAACCCAGCACCTCCGCAGCATACACTGCCACTCTGCCACACTTGGCCCTCTTTTTAAGAATGACTAATATTCCACTGTATGTATATTTCACATTTTGTTTCTCTCATGTTGGTTCTGTATGAATAAGGGTGTGCAAATACTTCAGATCCCTGTTTTCAATTCTTTTGAATATACCAGAAGTGGAATTGCTGGAACATATCATAACTCTAGTTTTAAGTTTTTGAGAAATCCCCATACTGTTTTCCACAGTAGCTAAACCATTTTACATCCCACCAACAATGCACAAGTGTTCTCATTCCTCCGCAACTTCAGCAGCACTTGTTATTGGGAGGGGGGAGGTTGTTTGTTATTTTTTTATCAAATTGTAATAGCTATCTTAATAGGTATAAGGTCATTTTCTCAATGTAGTTTTTTTGTTTTGTTTTGTTTTGTTTTTTCTTGGGGGGGGGCAGTTTTTACTATAGGACATGTGCACTCGCCAGAAAGACAGAGAGAGACAGACAGAAAGCGAGAAATCACTCCCCAGGGGGAATGAGCATGCCGCAATCCCTTCTCCTCCATTCTCCTCTCAGGATCATGGGCACACATGCACACGTGCCCAGCATGAGTTTAAGCCACTGGAACCAGGACTCGAACTGTGGTCAACTACATGGGAGTTCAGCGACATAGCCATTATGCCAACTGCTGGTCCCTTCAGCATAGTTTTAACTTCCGTTTCTTTAATGATGTCGAATAGCTTTACATTGGCTTATTGGCCATTTGTATATCTTCTCTTGAGAAGTGTCTACTCAGCAACTTTGCACACTTCTGTAACTAGATTGTTTTCTAGTTGGACTATAGGAACTCATACATTCTGGATATGAACCCCTTATTGGAGATGTGATTTGCAAATATTTTCTCCCATTCTGCGAGTAGCCCTTTTCATTCTGTTGATTCTGTACCTTGATATACAGACTTACATGTTTGATGTAGTCTCATTTGTCTATTTTTTTCTTTTTTATTTCATGTGTGCTTTTGGAGTCATATCCTAAAAAGATTTCTATGGGATCATAACAAAGTAAATGCTATTCACAGTGTGCTGTGATTAATATTTATTCCTGCACAACTTTGTTTTCCCTAGAATTAATAATTGATAGTTTTGTTCTATTGGGTATTTTTTTTCTTGCATAGATTTCTATGTATTCATCCATCATTCCTCCCTCTAGCTTTCTCTCATTTGTGTAAATCTTCTCCTAATCCAATCACCTGCATTACATATTCTACCAACTTCCTTTTCTCGATGAAGTACCTGCAGATATGTGATTGCTCCATCCTGTACTGCTTGATGACGAGGCCAGCTTCTCAGCTTCCCTGCACTGTCATCTGGAGATTGCTCTGCACTTTCTCTTGTGCTGGATTCCTCACTTCCTCTTTCTAGAACTACTACTTTATTAAGGGGAATGTCTATCCATGGCTTTATAAAAGGAAGTATCTGAGTAAAATTTTGTGAGACCTTTCATTTTTGAAGTGCCTGATATTTAATTGACAGTTTACTAGGTATAAAATTCTATAGAGTACCTTCAGGTTGAACTGGGAGTTGAGCCTGGGCCTTCCATGTGGTCCCAGCCTATAGAGTACAGCACCTTAGGAACATGCACGTCCACTATACCACACTTGGTACTCTTTTTAAGGGTGAATACTATTCTTTTTAAGGATGAATATCTATTTCACATTTTGTTTCTCCATTCATCCATCAGTGGGCACTTGTGTTGGTTTCACATTTTAAATGTTGTGAATAATGCTGGTATGAACAGGGGTGTGCAAATACCTTAAATCCCCGATTTCCATTTTTTTTGAATATACTAGAAATAGAATTGCTGGAACACGTCATAACTCTAGTTTTAATTTTTTGAGAAATTACCATACTGTTTTCCATAGTAGCTGAATCATTTTAGAAGCCCTTCAACAATGCACAAGTGTTAAAATTATTTTCCTTCTGAGTTTTAATGGCTTGCTCCACTGCCTTCTAGTTTCTGTTGAAAAGTGCCCAACACCACTTGACTTCTTAAATAGTTATGGGGAAGCTGTTCTTTCTCTTTAGAAGCTTGTAGGTTTCCATGTCCTGAGTGCATTTGAAGTGAATCTATGTCCATTTGTGCTAGGCATACGATGAGTCCCCTCCTTATGGAAATTAATCACTTTCAGTTTGGAGAAATTTCCTGGGACTACTTCTATAATGTTTTATTTTCTTTTTCTGGAACTTCTGAGTTATTCAAATATTGGCCCTCTTGGAATGAACCTCTGTGCTTAGATTTTTTTCATCCATATTCCATCTCTTTTTGCTCCCAATTCTGGAAAATTTCATCTTTGCAGAGGTTTTTGTTATTTTTCCCAGGAGCCTTTTATTTATTCATTGACTACTCCTTTTTTAAAAATATAATATCTTGCTCTTTTTTCATAGGTGCAATATTTTCTCATATTTCTTTGAGGATGGTAGTGATGTTTTGTTGCTGCTTCGGTTCAAGTGTTTATCACCATGCCTAGTCTTTGTTTCCTGTAAGTTAATTTCTTACCCGATTATTGAAAAACTAGCCACAGACTGCAAGAATATTTTACAGTACAAATAACAAGCAAAGCATCACTACCCAGAATGCACAAAGAATTATTATCAATCAATAAGAAGAAAACAACTCAATTTAAAAAGAGCAAAAGTATTTCATGGCAGACTAAATATGAATGGAAAATAAACCTGAAGAAAAGATGCTTAACCTTATAGAAATAAGGAAAATGCTAATTAAGGCAAGTGAGTTTTTTTTTTTCCCAGAGAAAAGAAGTCTGACAAGTATTGGTAAAGTGTGAATCAATAGGAATTCTTTTTTTCAAAAATGTTTTAAATAATTGTCAGAGGGCACATACACTCACCAGAGAGAGACCAAGAGACAGAGAAAAAGGGAGAGGGAGAAACACACCCCCAGGAGGGCATGGTCTTGCTGCAATCCCTTCTCCTCCATTTCTCCGTCTTGTCAGGATCTTGGACATGCACGCACACACACCCGGCGTGTTTTTAAAGCCACCAGGGCCGGAACTTAAATCACAGTCAGCCATGTGGTTCTGGTCCCTCAATCATTAGGCTTCAAGGTCAGCCCAACTGGAATCTTATATACTTGTAATGAAGTGCAAGATACTATAACTGCTTTGGAATATTGTGATTTTTTATTACTAAGTAATAAATAATAAACCCTAAAGAAACTCTTGCACACCAATACCTGGAGACACATATAAAGATATTCTGGACAATGCAGTTTATAATGGCAAAGCCACCCTCATGCAGGAGAATGAATTAATTGTGGCATCTTCGTATAATGAAATCTGATACAGCAGTGTAAGAGAATGACACATGCAACCAACCATGAAAGAAACACGTGCTGAGAAAAGCCACGGCAGAAGATGACATGCAGCAGGACCCAACTTTTATAAGGCTCAAAAACAAGCACACGTAAACAATATTGTTTAGATTTTTATGTTTGCGATACAGATTTGTTTTTTAATTGAGGAAATGAGTCAAAGAAAATTAAAATAGGGGTTATTTTTGTAGGAAAGGCAGGGGAATTGGATAGGGAGGAAGCCCACAGCATTAGTCAGACTCTCATGTTCAAGGTGATTTAAAAGTGTTCATTATTTTTATTCTATATATCCAGGGTGGCCTTGTATCTGATGTTCCCTGGACAATCTTGGTTTATATGTTGTCTCAACATCATTATTTATTGCAACCCTTTCCTCTTTTAGAAAGCTCTTGATTTGAATAATAAATGATATGACTAGCCTATTTATTTCTTACAAAAGGCAACATGTGTCTCTTTTGTGACTACCTATTATTACATACATTATACAGTTTAAATGCTGAGCCGCGGCCTGGCTACAGTCTCATGGGATGTCTGTGGTTTGGC